CCATATGCGTTTGCCCTTCAAAAAACAACGGTTTCTGTTTTTTGTGCCTCCATCCATTAATGCAATATGTCTCATGTTAGGTGTTATTATTAACCACTACACTATGGACTTACCACTACACTACAATTTATAGAAAACAATACATTCATGTGTAAATGATTGTTTAACCATGTAATCTAAACATTAATACAATTTAAAAAAATGTAACTTTTGAATTCATAACAATATATGTAACATCAAAGAAATCATGTAATTTTGTTTTGAAATACGTACCAAAGCAGATGAGTTCTCTCCGGAGGTCCCACTATCACCTTCAACATCGATATTTTTTGGTTTGTGTATGACTTCCATGGTTCTCTGTTTAATACACATGTAGTAATTACATTTTCATCTATCTGTAATGTAAAACAGTATCCTTCTACCTTGTTATACTTAGGTGTGCCTGTGCAAGGCCAAATTTTTATTATTCATCCACTGTTCTTCATGTCTAAACAAACTTCTGTTGCTCACTCAACTTTTGCTCTGTAATTAATTCAGAGCTTAAAAAATGTTTGCCACTCTCCTTGATAAATACTAAGTCCAGAGTAGTATTCAGACTCTAAACATAGATATCATAGAGTGCTTACCTTTTGGTAGTGCAGAGCAACATGATTAAGTTTTTTACGATTTGTACAATTGTTTGGCACTCCCAAGTCTTTGCACACGTTTCTCCAGAATGCGTCTCCTCGGTGAACACTGTGTTTCTTTCTGTTTTGTCTTTCGGAGAAAATCTCAATGCATTTTAGTATATGTTCATGTTTCAAACGAATTTTCCGTGTCTGTAAATGCAAGTAAAACAATTAAATAAAATAGAGAGAACTATACAACTATAAAATTATATTTCAATTTTTTTACAGTATATATCTTCTAAATATTGTTTAAGGATAAAACTTGCCTTTCCAAAGGATGAAAATGTGGAGGTTCTGTAACACAAATAAGAAATTAAAAAACAAAGGCTTCAATGTATTTGCCAAACAATAACATTTTCAGTTTTTGTCATGCACTTGTTATATTTACATATTTCCTGTATTACTCGAAATGACCTATTTAAAACCACTGGGGTGAGCGAAATGGTCTCGGATGGAAACAGACTAATCATATTATTGTTAACGCAACATTACAGTCAAAGATATGGACAAAGCAACAGTCTTATGATTTGTGTTTCGGGTTCAAGGAAATAAGCCTACATAGGAAAAGTTATTAAATTATGTATTAATATCAAATTTATTTCTAACAAAGTTGTTTAAAAGTGGTTGTTTGTTTATAGGAGCTACCGAGAGCATCACGTGGTCATACCACATCTATTACGTAATGTGTCCCTACCTAAATACATAGTACTTAAAAACACGTTAAAACCAAATTTAACTTAGAAAACAGTAATAGGAAGCAAATAACATATGAAGCAAAAAGCCATAAGGAAAACTTCATAAAATTTTTTGTCAATAAGGCAAACGTAATGACTTGTGGCTTAAGCTAATTGCATGCTTACCTTATCTGTCGTTTTGCGTAGCTCATTATTGTCTGTTGCAGAACCACGGGAACTCGTAACTTTTCCAAGTTTACAAATGTAGTGTATTTAAGACTGTCAAGTAAAATTGTAATTCCGTAGTTCCTACAGTTGTTGAAGCATGTGCACGCATCACACCGCCACCGCAAGTACTTGACTCATTGGGCTATAGGCTACTATCACCTTCACCCTTAATCAGTGTCCCGGATGAATAGTCACCGGATATCATCGGACGCATTTCAGAAAAGTAAAATAATGCGTGATTTAGAAATGTTAATAACTCATACTTGCCTGTTCAATTTTGATCATTTGGATAATTGATATTAGTTACACATAAATAGTGTTTACAGATGACCTTTGACTTTAGATGTTCAATTAAGCAACGCAAAAATGTATTACAGGCACATAAAAAACGAACCCATTGATGCATCAATTGTATTTAAACCAAAAAATACCCATGAAAGGTGTTTAAAATGGACATTTCAGTAGATAAACGGTTGAAACTTGTAAAAGTACTTAGTGTCACATTGAAAAAATAGTTTTGAGGCTTAAAAAAATAATTAAATACATTTCATTTTAAGATATTTTAAATAAAATAATGAAAGGGTGGAGTGCCCACTCCGGGTCGGGGATGAGTTCCTGCCCCAAGTGGAGGAGTTCAAGTATCTCGGGGTCTTGTTCGCGAGTGATGGGAGAAGGGAGCCGGAGATCGACAGACGGATTGGGGCTGCAGCTGCAGTAATGCGGACGCTGCACCGGTCCGTCGTGGTGAAGAGGGAGCTGAGTGTAAAAGCGAAGCTCTCAATTTACCGGTCGATCTACGTCCCTACCCTCACCTATGGCCACGAGCTGTGGGTAGTGACCGAAAGAACGAGATCGCGGATACAAGCGGCAGAAATGAGCTTCCTCCGAAGGGTGGCTGGCCTCTCCCTTAGAGATAGGGTGAGAAGTTCGGCCATCCAGGAGGGGCTCAGAGTAATGAGAGCTGCTCCTCCACATCGAAAGGAGCCAGCTGAGGTGGTTCGGGCATCTGACAAGGATGCCCCCTGGGTGCCTCCTGTGTGAGGTGTTCCAGGCATGTCGCACCGGGAGGAGGCCCCGGGGCAGACCCAGGACACGCTGGAGAGATTATATCTCTCGGCTGGCCTGGGAACGCCTTGGTGTTCCCCCGGATAAGCTGGAGGAGGTGGATGGGGAGAGGGAGGTCTGGGCCTCTTTGCTTAGGCTACTGCCCCCGCGACCCGGCCCCGGATAAAGCGGATGAGGATGGATGGATGGATGGATGGATATTTTAAATGAATTAGACAAAATAATTAATGTCTTTTTTTGGTAAAGTTCCATTATGGTATAATAACCTTCATACTTCACTGATGGGTGAATACTCTTGAGCAACTGTTTTGTGATTTTGTTAATTGGTGTTATGGAAAAATTTTACAGGTTTGTTGAAGTAGTTTTGGAAGATGATAACACATTGGTTGAGTATAGGAAAGTGTGTGTAGGACTTTTGAAAAACATTGACAACTGGTCCTCACTATCATTGTGAAAATAAATTTTAAAAGAAAGTCTCCTAGAAAGCTAAATATTGAAAAATATGAGTAAAACTAAAATAATTTGATACTCAGCACTGCTGTGCATTTTCGTATTACAGTGTAAAATCAACCAACATTAAAAACAGAAAACAATGAGAAAAAAGAGATAAGATATGATAACCTTTATTATTCCAACATGTGTGAAAATTGTTTTGTCACAGCAGGAAGTGGACAGTGCAAAAGTTATATACCAAAATTGGAATAAAATAAGAATAAAATACTGTACACAAATATACAAAATAGAATAAAATAAAATACTACATATATTAGAAGAAATAGAATAAAATATACAATAGGATAAAAAATAGAATGAAATGAGAAGACCAAGTCACATTTTTAATTACTTCAGAATTTTAACGATTCTGATAATTGCCACTGTGATAATCATTTTTTAAGTAATTAAGTAAAGTTTATCATTTTTGTCATAATGTACCAACTAGATTAAAACATCCATCTATTCATTTGCGCTTGTCCTCTTCAGGCTCGCGGGAGGTCGCTGTCATAGGGCGAGAGGCGAGGTACACCCTGGACAGGTCGCAAGTCTGTCGCAGGGCAAACACACAGGGACAGAAAACCATTAGCACTCACACCTATAATTTAGATTAATCAATTAAACACATATATTTGGACAGTGGGAGGAAGCCAGAGTACCCAGAGAGAACCCATGCAAACATGTGGAGAATATGCAAACTCCAGACAGAAAGACACCAGCCTGATGGTGGAATTGAACTCAGAACTTTCTTGCTATGGGGCAACAGTGCTAACCACCATGCCACTGTGCAACTCAGATTAAAGGATCTGACATTAAAATGAGTATTTAAAGACTATCAAAATTAGCTTTTGGAAAGCTATTCTGCAACTCAATGTAATTTTATTTATGCCAAAAATATTCTACAGAAAAATCAGAATCGGAGAAGGTTTATTAATTTGACGGTGAAATTGAATACAAGTTTCCTTTAATTTCTGAGGAATTTTACAGTAAATCTGGCTGAAACTTGGCACACAGGTACAGTAGGTGTCCCAGAGAAAGAATCTGTTGAAAGTTGGACCTCAACTACTCAGGATGATTTTTAATGAATTTTTGAAAATTGACATATTTGTAGTGTATTGGCTGTATTGAATTGCATATAAATGTCCTTTAATATCTGAGGAATTCTACAGTAAATCTGGCTGAAACTTGGCACACAGGTACAGTAGGTGTCCCAGAGGAGGGATGTGTTGAAAGTTGGACATCAACTACTCAGGATGATTTTTCATGAATTTTTGAAATTTCCATATTTGTAGTGTATTGGCTGTATTGAATTGCATATAAATGTCCTTTAATATCTGAGGAATTCTACAGTAAATCTGGCTGAAACTTGGCACACAGGTACAGTAGGTGTCCCAGAGAAAGAATGTGTTGAAAGTTGGACCTCAACTACTCAGGATGAATTTTCATGAATTTTTGAAAATTGACATAATTCTATTGTATTGGGCTGTATTGAATTGAATATAAGTTTCCTTTAATTTCTGAGGAATTTTACAGTAAAACTGGCTGAAACTTGGCACACAGGGGAGGGAAAGTTGGACCTCAACTACTCAGGATGATTTTTAATGAACTTTTATATAAAGCGAAAAGGCGCTTTATATAAAAGACTGGTGTAAAAGCGCAAGGAAATTTATGCGGCGGATAGGAGGCGGCTGGCTTGACCGCGGCTCACAAATGACGGCTCACTTTACCGCGGTCAAAACACAGGAACACACTTCCTCAACACTGGGTGTGAGTGGAGCCCTCTAGTGGTCCACTACACAAGAACTGATCTCCGGTTGTCAGCCACCCACCCCCAGAAGAGCCCCGGGCTAACCCCCGGTCACCAACCGAATTAATGGCCGGAAATCCGAGAAGGGGCACCGGTCTCATCGGCTTGATGAAGGACGCCTTTCAGCCTCACCAGCCCGCAGTGGTTGACAAGAAAATGGTGGGAAAATGCTGGAAACTCATGGATAAGGTACTGACAGTGGTTTTCCGGTAATCCGGTTGTTCAGTGATGACGTGACGAATCCTACTTCCGGGCCTAAAGTAGTCTGAGTTTAATATGGCTTTTGTGTTGTTAACATGTTTAATGTTATGTATTTTCTTCTATTTGATCTCAAAAAGCTCCTAAAACAGTCAGTGATCACTGTTGACCTCCCTCGGCTTTTATTACCGCTAATCATTCATTTAAGCTCAGTTTTTAAAACCTTAGGATGTAACTACAGCCCAGCCCATGCAGCAGTATATGAATGACTAACCTCGTATTGTGGATGGATTATCTCAGTTGTTCTCCTGGCTGAAGTTTGGTCCTTTTACAGCATCCTGCCATGCGATTACATTTGTTCCTGACCACCGAGAACACTCACGTTAACTTTTATCGAGTGGAAAAAAAGTTAGCTTGTTTATATTATGCTAACATAGCTGTGTCGCTAGCGGTCACGTAGCACATCATTATATACGAGCTAGCCAAACTTCAGTAACCCTACAAATATCACTGCTGTTTAGTTTTCTGTCTTCATTTGTGCTGGAAGTGATAACAGAGCTGTACGTTTTAATTTGTTTCCAAAACCCCGCAGTCAGGACATGCTATATTGTATTTAGATAGAAGCTAGCGAGCTAACTCCCTGCTAACTTCTAACTCCGTTAAATGTCATAAATTCCGTTTTCATGGATGCCTGGATGTTAAGCTCAATTGTTACACCTGGTAGAGCAGAACGCTGATAATTTTATTAAAGATGAAAGACTTTAGACAGTTTTTCAACTCTCAGTAATGCCATAGTGATCGTTTTATACAGGGGTGGCCAACCAGTCAGAGACCAAGAGCCACTTTTTTTTTACTGTGTTACCGCAAAGAGCCACATCATACGCATGGGCACACATGAACATCACCCATCCTTTCCCCCCCCCCCCCCCCCCCCCCCCCCCTCTCTCTCTCTCTCTCTCTCTCTCTCACACTCACACACACACACACACACAAAATACACACATCTCTGCTCAGCCAGATTCATTGTAAATGTCACACACCAACATGATAATGACAGAAATGGACTCCTACAGTACTAAAACCACAGGCCAGTCATTTTCAACAATGAACATTGTGTCCACTGTCTCACACACACAAACTCTCAGTTCAACCAAGTCCACAAACAAAAATATAATAATCTACAATAGCATTTACTTTTACAATGCATGTTGTTTAGTGGACTTCTGGCATTCCTTGCCTTGAACAATCCTCTTTAAATCTGGCTTGTATTCCGTTGTTGTCACTCGAAGCAATTCTTTCACATGTGTGTCAGTCAGAACAGATCGATGCTTTGATTTGACATGTTTTAGGGTAGAAAACACAGACTCGCAGACGTATGTTGACCCAAACATTGACAGTATCTTAAGCGCAGCCCGTTTGACATTGGGGTATTTTTCCATTGGCACACTTTTCCAGAACTAAATGGTCCCTTCCCTTAAAGCAGGTTTCAATTGGTCCTCCTCACGAAGATCAATCATCTCCAACTCAGCCGCAGCTTCATCTGTGACTAGCGGGACTTACAAACAGCCGGTCTCTGCATTAAATGGGTCGACGAGGAACGTAATCTGTGGCCTTTTCAATTGTAGATCATGGAACCGGGTCACGAAGCTTTCGTGCAAGTTTTCAATCACCGTTGCATATCTGGCTCTTTGCTTACTCAGGGCAGCGCTGGCGACTTGCCCGCTGGCTTTTAGCAGAGTGGGAAAATGCGTTAAATCTCCCTTTTGAATATGTGTCTTGAACAGCTTCAGTTTGTTGACAAACGCAAACACACTTTGCACCATGTCAGGCAGCATTTTTAACTTACCCTGCAGGGTCAGGTTCAGTCTGTCCAAGTGACACAGCATGTCGACCAAAAGGCCAGATCCATAATCCACTTGAGGTCCGAGAGCTCGGGATAGTCCTTGTCCTTCTTTTCCATAAACAGTTTCATGGCATCCAAAAGCTCAAAGAAGCGAGAGAGTACCTGGCCTTTTGAGAGCCACCTCACAGTGCAGTGCAGCGGCAGGTCACCTGGAAGCCCTTGGTCCAGCTCAGTGATGAGATTCTTGAATTGCCTGTGGTTAAGCGCATGTGTGCGGATATAGTTGACGATTTCCATCACAGGCTTCATGACGTGATCTAAATTCAATGATTTAGACACGAGTTGCTCCATGTGGATGATGCAGTGGAAATTCCAAAAGTCAGGAATAGTTTGGTCAGCTTTGCACAGCCCCACAAGCCTGTTCACAGATCCCATCATGGCTGGTGCTCCATCCGTGGCTATTGCAGTTAATTTCGTTATGGGCAGATTTGCTTTTTCAAATGCAGCCATCATGGTTTCTTTCACATCTATGCCATGGGTTCTGTCTTTTAATGGCACAATATCCAGGAGTTCTTCTTTGATCACACAATCGTTGGACACAGACCGTGCAAATATTGCCAACTGAGGCTTGTCTTGTATATCACAACTCTCATCCAATGCGACACTAAAATACTCACATGCTTGAAGGTCAGAGTGCAACTGTGATTCAATAGCCGTGTTAATGTCCGATATTCTGTGTTCAACAGTGTGGTGGGACAGTTGGACGTCTGATACCATGCGTTTTAATTTGTCGTTTTCAGGAGACAAGATTTCAACAACATCACTGAGGCATTTTTTAATGAACTCCCCTTCATTGTATGGCTTTTTAGCCCGTGCAATGTTCCAAGCCAGCTGATAGGATGCGAGCGTTATGGTCTCTGACCGCTTCGTAAATTTTTGGAAAAACTGTATCTGCCTTTCTGCCTGACTTTTCAAAGTGGCCAACTCGTGCTTGCAAAGTTCAGTCCCTTTTGTAAATTCCTGGTCGATGTTAGCATGGAGTGAGCTGAAGTGGCGCTGAAGATTTGAAGCTTTGAAATGCGCTAATGACGTCTGACATATAAGGCAGAATGGCTTACCATTGCGTTCAACAAAAAAATATAAACTCTCCCACTCTGTTAAAAACGTCCTGTGTTCATCTTCATATTTTCTTTTTGCTGTGCATTTTTTTCCTGCCATTTTAAGGGCGAACTTGCTCCTACTGGGAAACTTTGCGGTATTTTCATCTCACACACATGTGCATTTGATGAAAACACCGTATTGAACTCAAGCGAAGCGAACGCGCACATTTTAAAACAACAACATTAAAAAAAAAAACCCCACAAACGCAAACTTTGATATGAACGTAAGAGCCGCATGAAACCAGGCAAAGAGCCGCGTGCGGCTCGAGAGCCGCGGGTTGGCCATCCCTGGTTTAATATATGGACCTGCAGCGGAGTTTAGGTCCAGACACGGCTAGTGACGTCAGACTGAACAACCGGATAAATCCTTTGCAAGAAAGGGCTTTGAAACAGTAAACGAAAAACTTTTTACTTGACTTTTTTTCTTTTTGTCTGTAACTCGACATCATAGACAAATGTGAGGCCACTTTAACTGATTTTCTTTTCTCACATATTGAAAAAAGATTAAGCTCAACTTTTCCATCCGCTCCTTCACTTAGCGTGAAACTGCGGTTATATTGAATCATCACTAATTCCCTTTGCATGACATAAATAACCTCAGGACATCCACACAGGAAGGTGCTTTGGCCTAAATTTGAACAATAACCTGTAAAGCAGTCTAAACCTGAAGCCTAAAACTGGAGTACAGTGGTGTCTGATTGTCTAATTGGGGTCAGTTCTCCTGAATTAGGTCACATTCATATCCCTATATTTAGTATTGGATAAGAAGAGGTGTACATGTTGCAGGGGCAAGGCAATGTTCTCTATAGTCATTGCAGCCTATTTACTTTCTTTTGCAGTTGGCTATAACTAAAACAGATGAGCGGGAAGTGCAGAGAGGTGGTGAGACAAGAGCTCACAAGATATTAATGCAAGTGAGCTGATGTAGGAAGTAACAGTGCATCAGATAATAGAGAGTGAACCACGGCATGCATGTGCAGTGTTCTGTGCAGACTCATTTACACCTGTGCTTGTAAATGGCACGTTTGAGTTTAAAAGCTTTCATACCTGGGTGGTATGCTTCAGGGCTGGGTGCTGAAAATTTTTACTGCCTTGCTGTAAAGTTGTATTGTGGGAATACATTGCCATCAAAGTAGCAAAATGAGGAATCTGAGGGTTTGGGGGAAGTGCTGGATCTGATATATAGAGTGAGTGTGCAAATGTATGCAAAAAAGAAACAAAACCCTGCTTGCATGCACAGTTGGTCCACAGCAACGTGGGGAAAAGATGCACTTAAATGAATAGTGACAGGTAAAAGTTTCTGGTGAAGTTGATGCAAATTTTAGGTATTCAACGTGTTATTGTACTATGAGCCATTTCATGTTTATGGTCACAATATATTGGGCCTGCAAAGTTATTTGGTGGGTATGGGAGCATAATTGAGTGCAATTTGATAAGTAACCTTAGTTGTCAGGTGATTAGACGGGTAGTAAATGTCCGTCACAGAAGCAGTTCCTGGTCAAACTTTGATCTACAGCTTGTGCCACATTATTCTCCGATTACCGAAAAGACTCTATCAAGAAGGTTATCATCATAAACATTAGGAAATATTGGCTGAAACTTTAAACCTTGACATGTGTAAGAATGGCATTTTTTTCCGGTAACATCACATTGCAAAAATCGTGACCCAGTTTTATGAGCTTAAAATTTATAGACACATCCATATCCAAACTTGCGTGCGATAGCTGATGATCTAGCTGGAAAACTGTCAAGAAATCTGTGATGTCTCCAGTACCGTACTTAGACAAACTTAAAAAATGTTTTACCTTGACTGTGAAACATGCACATTGCAGCATCTCACATTGCCACAGCTAAAGGTTTTAATCCTGTTTGTTTTATGGTTTTTGTTTTTTCGTTGTTTGCAAGTTAAAAATAAAAAAACCCCATCTCTGAGCCGTTGCGTTCTCTGTCCAGGTGGTGCGTCTGTGCCAGAACCCCAAGGTGGCGTTGAAGAACAGTCCGCCCTACATCCTGGATCTTTTGCCGAATACCTACCAGCATTTACGCACCATTCTGTCCAGGTATGAGGGCAAAATAGAAATCCTCGGCAAGAACGAGTATTTCCGCGTGGTCATCGACAACTTGACGAACAAGACGAAGCAGACCATGAGCCTTTTTAAGGAGGCCAAGGAGAGGATGTACGAGGAGAACTCCCAGCCCAGGTAGGCGCACGTTATATCCGGACAAAACATGATTCATCTTTGTGGGGGGAAACGGAATATTGCACCAGCAGAAAGCCAGGATGGAAAAGCTGTGAAGCAGGGAGTATCTGAATACTGGGTATCTGAATCATGGCACAGTTAAAGAGCTAATCGTTGTTTTTCTTGGCTTCCTATCAATAAAATAATCCCTTAAACTCATGATAGTACGATAATTCCAGCAGTAAAATATCTCTGCTGACCGAGACCGTCTCTGTCCTATGGAGCACAGAACTGAGCTTTTTCACAACATCTGTTTTGACATGAAATAGTTGGAAAGCACAGATGTTGATGATTAATTAATAAAGATCGTTAACTAAATAGAATAAAAGCTTCACTAATGGGCCACCTTTGTCTGAAGGTCTGCTGTCAGCATTGGCTGAATTTTTTATTGTTATTTTAACCAAAATAAAAAATGGGTTCTTAATGAAAACCTTCCAAACTACCCAAGAAATCAGAATCAGAATCAGAATACTTTATTCATCCCGAGGGAAATTAGGGGTTACAGCAGGCAGCACGCTAATGGCGCATGCGCACTCACAAAGGAACCTTCTGACCAACTTTACACAAACATCACATTGGGCAGACATGTCAGAAGGTAGGCTGATAGGAAAAAACAACGAAAATACACTACATGAGGTAAGAGGAGGAGAAAAAAAAACTCCACTCAGACTGACCTCCTAGTGGGAGAACAGTTTGATAACAGAAAAAACACCTCAGCACAAAAGCACATGACTATCAATACACCATAGAAACACGAGACAAGCAACAGGGGCTCAGGGGTGTTGTAAAGGGTAAGAGAGAGCCGGCGTAGACAGCGCATCCGGTCCTGCAGCATCTGTGCTGGTCCAGTTGACTGCTATCTTCCCCGGTAGGGCACAAGCATCGAAGGCGTTTGGAAGGGAGGGGGATGAGTGAGTGCTTATCAGTGTAAGTGTGTATGTGTATGCGTGTCCAGAGTTCAGCGGAGACAGTGTCCTTCGCTCTATCAGGCTAAGTAAACAGTCTGCCAGCCAACCCAGGTGGCCTTCATGGGGCGGGAAGAATAGTCATCACACAGTCGTTATCAGGGAGTTGTTTTGGTGGGCTCCAGCCTTGGGCCTGCAGCTGGCGCCGTGGTGTCCAAATGTTGAATATTGTTGATTTCTCCTTTGTGAGCAGCTCGAATTTAGCACTCTGAGACTGGTCCCTCGATCCGTTGAAGAGCTGCGAGCCTCCCCATGATGGTATCAAACTTCTGTTCCATGGTGTTGTCAGTCTTTTGATTCTGAGACCTCACAACTGCAGTGATCCGTTCCGCGATGTTTTCCAACTGTCGCTCAAGGGTCTCATTTTGAGCAGGCCTCTCTCTGATGTTTCCCCTCATACGCTCAATGGTGTTGTTTTGAGCCTTCACAGCAGCTGTAAGCGTCTCCAAGGTGTTGACCATATTACGTTCGTTGTGAGAGGTCGCACCTCGTCCCGTCGCTTCGAATCCAGCGGGCAGCCTTGTGGGGGTTTGAACAGCCGGTTCCGCTCTCTTATTTCTCTGATAAACCAGGGCTAAGCCAACGCCGATCAGCATGAACCCTGTTATCATGGTTCCGAATAGGTAGATATCTTCAGCATCCTCGATCGACAGTCCCGCCAGGCACACGGTCCTCCAGTTCTGCCACCCATCCATCGTGTAACCGGCAGGGAAAGTCCCTCCAGGGCACTCAGGCTCTCCCGAGCCCCGACTTCTCGTTGAGAAAAGGGTGTCAATAGCACTCAGAGACCAGTTGATCAAATCCATAATTCTCTTTTAGGTTTTAGAGAACGACAGTGAGAGACTGTTCCAGGGAAAGTAAATTCACACAGACAAGACAAGGACATAGAGGCGAAGCAGGGAAGATAAGGGTGAGGAGGAGAGGAGAAAAGTGCGACCGCCTTCGCTGAGAGCTCAAGAAGTAGTTCAATACAACTCATACTGAGATTTTTTGTGTGATATTTTTTTTTCCATCAGATGATTAAAAAGATTTAAAAAAGCGGCATGCTTGCACTGCTGTGGAGTCATTTGTGAACATCTCTAACTCTGTGCATTTAAAATGAAGTACTGATGTCATTTAAGCTCTATAACATTAACCTGCAATCTTTTTGTAAATATTAATTTAAAGTATTGAAAAAGTTTGTCTTTTTTCTTGAAATGTTCTTACAAGTTTCCATCGCTGCGATTAAATCAAACCATATGAAGCAAAGTGAGCTTCATAGGGAAGTGATTGCACTTTCGCAATCCTCTGCTTCTCAGAAAGTCTTTGCTAAGCAAAAGTTCATCCTTCCTTTCACGCACTAAATTTTATCAAGTGTAAGATGTTCTATACAAACAGCTGTGTTGGCATTAGCAAATGCATGTATAGGTCATCGGAAAGCCTTTTAATTGAACCGTCAAAGCTGAGGCCATGCTCAGACGATGTTGTTGCCCAACTGGCTGTGTGCTCAGTATGCGTCTGCGACTTTTGGTTCAGTTTTTTGTCATGTGTCACCTTGTGCCTCTTTTAAACTGATTTACTGTTTAAAGAAAACAAAACAAGTTTGGACTAGATTATGCACCCGCACTGGTTATGTTCAACCCCAATGAGGGTGGACTCACTTCCTCTGAAAAGTAGCGTTTCGTGTAGACTGCTCAAACCAGGTATCTTCAAATGTAAAGCAAACGCAAGTGTAAAAGTCAATTTTCAACATTGCTTCCCTTCTTCTGCAGTTATGTTCATGATTTCAGCTCTAATTGGACATATTTTTATAAATTTGACACTTGAGTTGTCAGGAGTGGGGTTAGTTTGTCTGGGAGGTAGTGCAGCCAACCACAAGTAATTTCACAGAAAGTGCTTTAAATGCATTTAACAAAGTAACACCAGTTGTTTCAACAGCAGAAAAAGAAAAAAGCGAAGAAGAAAATGTCCAGTTGACTATTGTGTTTGTTGAGAAAGAGGAAAAAAATTAACTGTAGATCCATAAAATGTGCCAGAGGAGAGGGAAATGTACGAGACGAGTGGTACCATCTTTGATTCCGCCTGATTGTTTTGTACTCGAAAGTGTCTGGCTGCTGAAAGCTTCTATTTCTGTGTGCATGCAAGTGTAACTTCCCCTTTTATTTAAAACCAAACATGGCGTTATAGAATACTAAAGACATTAGGCTGAGGATACCTGTATCTAACTTGTTGCTACGGTTTTCTTTCATTGTCTCTCTTCCTTTTCTCTCACTTAGGCAAAACCTTACCAAGCTATCTCTGATCTTCAGTCACATGCTAGCGGAGTTAAAAGCCATCTTCCCCAATGGCCTATTTCAGGGTGACAACTTCAGGATTACCAAAGCTGATGCTGCTGAATTCTGGAGAAGGTCATTCGGGGACAAGTGAGTTTTTGTTTCAGCTCTGTATTCTTATTCCTGGGTGATGTTCGAATGACTCATATTTCACAGTAATCCTTATTTATGTCATGCTGGCCATCGATTCCAGTTCATCTCTGGCTGAAGGAAGCAGTTTTATCTTACTTACTGCTTCCTGCCCCTTGCAAACAAAAGATTTAAACAGAAGTCAGATTACCATATTAGCATAGTCACATTCACAGGCAACATACATACGAAAAGTAAAAAAACACAACAAAAGCGCTGAAACTGAGCATTTATAGCAGTGGAGGTCTGGGTTTTGGGGTCATGAGTTAAGGCTACGTAAGATGACCTCATGATTTGAAACTGACTGTGAGCATCCCAGCCATTTTATTAGGGGCACCTTGTCTTCATTTTTGTGGCATTGATTCAACAAGGTGCTGGAAACATCCCTTGCAGATTTTGGTCTATAGTGACATGACAGCATCATACGGTTGCTGCCACATACCCAGGTTTCCCTATTGGACCGAGATCCAGTGACTCTGGAGGCCATTTGAATACTATTGCTTGGATGTTACTTACTGTCATGTTTAGAAAACCAGCTTGATTGGAGTTTTATCACCTGATGTGTTATTCTACTGAAAGCAGCTATCAAAAGATGTTAGAGATGTTTGCGGGGGGTAAATCACAGCAGATCAGCAGTTTATGAAATGCTCAGAGCAGCACCAACAAGCATGTCCCATTCAAAGCTCTTTCTCCCACATTCTGCTCAGTTTGAACTTAAGCAGGCAGTGGTAACCATATACATATGTGTCTGCATGCATAAATGCACCGAGTTGCTGTCATGCTCAAATATTAGTATTAATCAGTATAGGGCTGTTCGATATAACCACATATATCGGATGACAATATGAAAACGTCTATCGTTTCATTTTACGCTATCGTTTGTTTCGTGGTGTCGCAAAATAAAGTGTTTACGCCAATATTTTTTCACCGTTTTGATGGTCACTGTAGTGGCTATATTAATTTATTAAAGTTCTCTCTTTCTCTTATATTTAATATAACCACACTAAGGATGGACAAGCGCCTGTTTTTATGCATTGTTGTTAGCAACAACGACGGTAAAACCATCGCATGTCCGCTTGTTTATTTTCCACATAAACCTTTCACAATAAAGCTCAAGATCCTGTTGAAACTTTTCAAAATAAACGGAATCATGTGAAAAAGTATGCAGAGTGTTTATGGATGAGAAGCAAAAAGGAGCCGTCAGGTGTCTAAAAATGTATAGTTTCATGCACGGTTAAAACACTCGACTCCAGGTACACGACGCCCAGCTGGAATCACTTCAGCAACCCGAGATTCACAAAATTTACAGAAAATGTTAAGTTTTTGTGATTTTTATCGTCGTTGGATGATAGATGTTTTATATCGGGATGTGAGATTTTGGTCATATCGCACAGCCCTAAATCAGTAGTTGAACACACGTATCTAATAAAGTCACAGTTGAGTGTGTGTATTTGAGGAAAAGCATACCAGGTCCCCTTTAGTCAACTAAAAATACACCTGTGTATATATTTAGAGTTGTGTCTTTATAAAGGCCTGCTGCCTTGTTAGCTAGGTGTTAGCTTAGCAAATCTGCAATTTTATTACATTTTAGGTTCTATTTAACCCCAAATTCAGTCTTAACTAATAGTGAAAGGCAATGTCCCCACAACAAACATTTGTTTCCTCTCCCTCCCTTCTATCCAGGACCATAGTGCCATGGAGGACATTTCGGCAGGCTCTTCATGAGTTTCACCCTATTAGCTCAAGTCTGGAGGCCATGGCGCTCAAATCCACTATCGACCTCACCTGTAACGACTACATCTCCGTCTTCGAGTTTGACATCTTTACAAGGCTCTTTCAGGTACGTCACAAAGCATTCAGAGTAGTTCACTGTAAAATTGCACAGTTTTCACTTTAATAACATTTTAGTAAAGGCGGTGAATTACACGAGGATGCTTAAATTTGTTTATTTGTTTAAATTTGAGTCCCGCTTAGTCTCTCCTGTGTAAATGCAGCAGCAGTGTCTGAACCCACTCGCATATGTTTTTCTGTAGTGTTGCCAGCGATCAGAGTTGGTGTTTGTAATTTTATTGCTGCTAACAGATCTTCTGTCCTATATGCATTATAGTCTCATACCTGATTTTTGTTGTGAATTCAACTTCAAAACAGCTGATGTACACAACATAAATAAAATGTTTGCATTTGTGAATCTGTGTCTTGTAGCCATGGTCATCTCTTCTAAGGAACTGGAACAGCCTGGGTGTTACACACCCTGGTTATATAGCCTTCTTAACCTACGATGAGGCGAAGGCTCGACTGCACAGGTTCATCCACATACCTGGCAGGTAGGCCTCACAGATCAGATATATCCTATAATACTTTTGGGGGGGAAATCCCTACTGTATTAAATATTTTGTTGCAGGAGTTTGTAGCTGTTGGTTGAAATAACTCTCTCTCACAGCTATATCTTCAGGCTGAGCTGCACTCGGCTGGGCCAGTGGGCAATTGGCTATGTGACAGCTGATGGGAACATCCTGCAGACCATCCCGCATAACAAACCACTCTTCCAAGCACTCATTGATGGATACAGAGAGGGATTGTGAGTCGCATATCATCAGGGTTAATGAACTAGTATTTAGTGTAGATTTATAGCACTATTAAACTGCAAGCTGTCAGGGGAGAGTATTGTTTTTCAGCCTACTGAGTACATGTTACTTTAGGTTCCTGAATTAATAGTGAGGAGGGTGGAGTCTTTGTAGTAGTTCCTCAAATTTTAACAAAAAACCTTACAAGGAACAGGTTGGAGAGTGTGGATGAAATGGTGTCACAATTATGACACAAACTAGTTTGTGTCATCCTGCAGAGAAACAAACTTGTTTGTTTTGTTTTGTTTTTTAAGGATTTTATAATGAGAAATTGTTTGGCAGCCTCGATGAATTGTAAAAACATGGCAAGGTTGTTGCTTCTTACTGTTGATTTATAAAATCTGAAAATGACCCTTTTTTCGTGACTTGGTTGCGTTTCTGTGTGCCGTGGTTCTCCAGCTATCTTTTCCCAGATGGCCGTGCACAGAACCCAGACCTGACAGGGTTGTGTGAACCGTCTCCACAGGACCACATCAAAGTTACTCAGGTTTGTTTCTCATGTGCGTGCATGTTTTTAATGCAGAGAACAAATACAGATGCATAAAATGACTGATTTTAGGAATAAATCTCTACAGGATGAGAGTAACATGAGCAGCCGGTGTTGAACGGTCTCCCTTTTTCCCTCGTTTCTCTGTGTCTTTTATTACACTGATTTGAAGCAGCTCAATAAATCCTGACAGGGATCTTCTTTTTCCTGCTGTAGAATTTTCTTTAAATTCAGTTTTTTGTGTTCAACGGTGCCTTTTTAAATAGGTCAATTAATAATAATAATAAGTCTTTGATTTAGATTCATTCTCAGATTGCAAGTGTTTTACTCCACTCTCTGATCTGCATGTTTAAACTTAAGTATAAAGTCTTTTATTATTATTATTTAATTATTAGCAGTAGTTCCTGCAGTAGAGGAGTCGTGTCATGTTCCTCAGTGTAACTGTTGCAGTCCCCAAACTTATACGTTCGGTTCTTTGAGCCATAAGATCCCACAGTGCTGCTGAGTTTTAATAATGAAAGTGTGAAACAAAGGGAAGCAAAAGAGATGGGAACTCCGGCTAAAACAAACAAACAAAAGAGGAAGGAGTCCATGAACGAACCACACCAGACTGTCTGCTTCAGGCTTCACCCCTAAACTACTTTTTTTCTTCTTCCTTTTTTAACTAAGAACCAAAAACAAAATCCAAAACAGGCCTGTAGCAACAGAAAGACAGATGGGAGGGACAGAGATTCCAGTTACTGACCATCAAGCTTCAGCAGCCAATCGGCACTAAGAATAAATCTAAAGTGAGATCAGGTTAACGAGGGTGCTGATAAAAACACAACAAGGTGACGACTGGACCAACGCACCGAGGTCACACGTAGCTGTAACTTTATTGTTTTATTAATGTTATTTTACAGTCAGTGAAGCTGAAGCACTTTCTTTTTGTACTTCCTTTAATAAAATCCTTCTTGTTACTAACAACTGTAACGAGTTTTCCTCTTCAAACATAAAAGATTAAATAGACTTTACTGGCTGGGAACATAGACTTGCTAAGAGTGACACAAAGGACTTGTTTGCCCTGAGTGAATGAATGAATTTGATGTGCTGTTTATTCTTGATGGACTTTGGACTTTAGACTTCCTTATACGGAATTTATTTTGATTGTGTTTCACATCAGACGAACAATATAATCGTTGTCTTCCCAAGCGCAGTCGTGTTGTTCTCAATACTCTGCCTTCAGGACAGAAATGCTCTCCGGGCTAACGTAACAGATTAATTAATCGCAGCATGACTGCAGAGTTCTTTAGACATAGTTTTTGTTAAAGTGCTCCTTCTGCAGATCTTTGATGTACAACATTTATTTGACATCTTCAGTTTTATTTACATTATAACTCATCCTATCCGGGTGACTCTTTTTGTGGTAGTTTTCATGGTTTCCTCCTTAAGCTTTCAGTCTTGAAAAGACTTGCAGCTGTAATTTGGATTTAAATCAAAGCAAAGCCTTTCACAAATGATGAAAGCTTCAGTCAGCTCCTTTGCCTTTACCTCCTAACCTTGCTGTGTCTTTCCGTGTGTGCATTTCAGGAATCGGAGGGTCAGGGCTGCCCGTTTTGCCGATGTGAGATTAAAGGCACGGAGCCTATTGTAGTGGACCCCTTTCACCCAAAGGCCACTGGGGCTTCCTTTGCTGGTTTCCAGGGGTCGAGCAGAGCAGAAGCCGCAGGCAACGAAGAGGAAGAGGATGATCGGCTGGAAGACCAGCAACTTATCATGATCTGGCTGGCCTGCACCAAAGTAAGACGAGCACGTACATATATTTAGACGCTCACTGGGTGCTTTATTAGATGCAGCTGTTCGATTGCTTATTAATGCACAATATTAATCAGGTAATTGCTACAACAACTCAGTAAATTTAGCTAATAGATATGGTCAAGATGACCTGCTCAAGTTCAAGCTGAGCATCCGAAAAGGAATGAAAGGTGATTTGAGTGATCCTTATCGTGTAAATATCTCTGAGGAATATTACAAGCACTTCATCCACTACAAAATCTGTAAATCAATGTGTGGGTGTGCAGGTGGAGCGCCCTCCGTCTCCAGTGTCTCAGCTGCCTCCGCGACTGGACCTCTTACAGCAGAGGTCCTCCACCTCCCATAGTGCACTGAGTCAGGGAGCCACAGTCAAAGTAAGTACACGCCTGAGTGCACTAATAGTAATGGAGTGGATTTATATAGCGCTTTTCAAGGCACCCAAAGCACTTTACAGTGCCACTATTCATTCACTCTCACATTCACACACTGGTGGAGGCAGCTACAGTTGTAGCCACAGCTGCCCTGGGGCAGACTGACAGAAGCCAGGCTGCCATATTGCACCATCAGCCTCTCTGGCCAACACCAGTAGGCGGTAGGGTAAAGTGTCTTGCCCAAGGACACAACGACCAGGACAGAGAGCCCGGGGATCGAACCCACGACCTTCCGGTTACAGATACGCTTCCCAACCCCCTGAGCCACAGTCCCACTAAAGACAAAAGACTTTGAGACCGACTATCTGTGGAAAAGAATTCAAAGGGTGGAAAAATAGTTTTTAGAAAACACTTGCGTTGGCCAAAGGTGCATTCAAGACTTGCTGGTCACTGAAATATTCTCACTCTGAATAGTGCCTTTAAGAAGAGCCCTGTGCAAACATACACTAAGAAGTTGAACCAGAAGTAATAACTGCTCAATCATATGGAAGTCATATGCAAAGTGTTAAGGCCAACACCTGCTGCTGGGACACAAACTTCATTACAAGCGCAGTACATTTAGGTCAGAGTAATATCACAAACTAACCACCTCCTATTACCAGCTTTAACTCGCTTTTTATATCAATAAATACACGTATATGAGTAGCTAACGATATGAATATCTTCTCTAGAAAAGAGCATTTATAGTTTTAGTTGTGATCAAAAGAGCCTGTGAGATAAATCTGTAATGAGTCCGTATATTTAAGTCAATATTTCCTAGAAGCCTTGAAGTTGTCAGATGTCCATTTGATAGTCAAAAATAATCATGTGTTAATGTGGCTGCAGGTTCCTGGAAATTATGTGAATTGGCTAAGTGTTGGTATTCACAACTGCTCGACTGTTTGCCTGTGACTTAAAGATTAATAGTGACGCCTTTTTATTAAACCTCCAGTGTGCTGCCAGCCCTGCTAACACAATTATTGTTATTACCAAAATAGGATGTGTGTGTGTGTACTTGAGTCTTCACATCTCTAACAAAAAAACATCCTGTCCTGTGTCTTCTGACCCAGATGGTAGCCACTCACAGGGACAAGCCTCTACCTCTGCCTCCAGCACTGAGAGAGCCTCCCCCTCCTCTCCCACCGGAGCGCCCCTCCCTGGTCGGCCAGGAATCCAGACTCCAAAGGAGACCCCTCCCCTCCACCCCGGACCAGCCAGCCTGGGCAGCAAACTACATGGTGCTACGCCCTACAACGAAGGCCCCACCACAACAGGGCTATATGGCGCTGTCTTTAAGGAAAACATATAGATCTTGGGTTGTTAGAAATACCAGCAGATCAACAAACATGCTCAGACCTTCCGGCAGGTAATAAAATGTGCTTATGTGTGTGGTTATGTAATTGTATAGTGAATTGCAGAGAACAAAATCTCGCTGGGAAAGGTTACAAGTGACTTTCAAACAGTTCGTAGAGTGAAAAGTGAGAAAGTTGGTCTATAAACAAGTTAAAGGGATAGTGTGACACACAGTAATGCAACCCTCAAATCTGAAGCTGTGTATTTTGTCCAGCAGGGGGCTCTCGAGGTTCCCATTCCTTAGAGAGAACTCTCTGTTTTTCACCTCCTTAAATAATTTAAAGGACAGTGCTTGAAGATGAAGGCAGCTGGATCTCAGCTTGTCTCTTTGATTAAAATGATGACAGTGTCTAAAATGTAGGGAATTCGAATGGATAGGAAATCTGCTTAAATTTTAAAACTCGAAAGCTGAAAGTTGTGGTGTGAGCCTACAAAGATGCCTTCGCTGGGTCCATGCACGACTAATTAGGCTTAAAATGTGTAATATTTGGAAGCATTCATACCTCTGTGTGATTGGTGGATTTTTGTTTGAAGCAGAGCTAGATGTTTAGCGGTCTATTTGTGATGTTAGCATACTGAAATGATGAACTTTTGATCAGAGGTTTGGTGATTTAGCTTACAAAGGGTAGATTCAGTCATTGAGAATATTACCTTCTCTGTGAGGATTAGTTTGTGTAAGAGTCAGCCATAGAGGATCGCCAACAATGGCCCTTTTGAAAATCTGCTTCTAATACTTTTTCCTTTCTTTTTGTTTTTTGGTCATGTAGTGTTACCATGGTAACTAGACAAAATTTCAGATTATGAGTTAAGTGTAATTGCAAATAAGCCCTGCAAGTCAGCTCAGGATGCAGACTTTCCAGGCACACCGCTCTGTCCCCAACCACCTACAGTTCAAACCTGCTGTTTGCACGGGGCATCCTATCAGAAGAAAATTGACTTTAAGGGGACGGTGGCCTGAAAGTATAAATGGCTTTATTTATTTATTTAAAATCATGGAAAACTTTTTGAGTCCAAGAGTAAGATTCTTTAAATGAAAATGAGCACAGTTTGTTCCCCTTTAAATGATTCCTCTATCTCTCTCCGTCTTGCTGTGTGCCTGCAGTGAGGTGGGGGACAGTGACTCTGAGGACCCCCAGGTTTACGAATCCATGTGTAACATCCAGGCCCAGGCCGGCTCGTCGGAGACGACACAGAACTCTGAGCTGTGTAACATTCTCAGTTTCTCACTTCAGTGTATGGGAAGTGCTTGATCATTATGGATTACTAACAGTAATCACACTATTTGTTCTAGTAGTAGTGGATAAACTGACATCACAGAATTAAGAATATCAGGGTAAAACCTCATTTTTATTTACTTTTTTTCCCCCTCCAAGACCATCCTCAGCATTCAGCTGTTCCGCAGGACAAAAAGGAGGAGGCCAGTGTGGAGGATGTTTACGAGTATGACTTTCCCAGACCAGTGGTCCCTCCTGCCCCCGCCAGAAGAGCCCTATCAGATATCGGCGGCCCTTCTGCAGCCTTCAGCAATCTCAACATAGACTCTGCAGTAGATCCCAGTATGTGTGGGGGGGGTTTTTTGTCGTTTGTTTTTGTTTTGTTTTTGTCCCCCTTTTTAATTTCTAATGATCAGCAGGTGGCGAAATTTCTGGTTGCAAAAAGGGAGTTGTGGTCATTAGTTACGTCGTACTGAACACAGCGTGATTTATATTTTAATAGTGATCACCAGTATGCTCAGCTTGAGGCTTCAAGATGATGCACGAAATAAACCGGTGACATCCAGTTCTCGTGTGCAGGCTGTAGTCCACGGTATTAATGTTGTTTTATTGCGCATTTTTCCTCAGGCTGGAAATAAAACAAAAAGTGCCAAACAGTTTTTTTTTGCATTGAAGCTAATCACAATTAAAGAAAAATCAAAAAGTCCAAAAAGAAAAGTAGTCTTAGTTAGACTCAGTAGCAGTGGACAAATGAATATTAATTTGAGAAGTAATTGGGCTACACGAATGTAACTTGAAACTTCTTGTTTAACTTTGGCTTCAGCAAATTACTGCTTTAACCACACTGAAATCAGTGATGGAAATTGCTTTCATAGATACTCTAACCACAACATGCTGCATGTCAGGCCAGCTTGTGAAACTGCTCAGGCGATTCATGAGGTCAAAGTTACAACAGAATCCATCGTGCCAGGCTTGAAGCTATGTGCTTCTAGATGAACTACAGGTAGTTTGGACCAATCAGCCTTCTGTTAGGAAGCCACATTCATTCTAGGAGCAAGTGTCACTGCTTGGCAGTTTGCTTGGTAACAGTTATTTTGAAGCCAGAACTTTAATGTCAGTGATAACCTAAAGGCCTTTTTTCCTGCAACTTTTAATTCTGTGACGCATGCTGCGTTTCTTTGCCTTTCACAGACTGTTACAGATGATTTATCCAGTGTTTTAGTTTTTTTAGAGTGCGGATACTTTAAGTTTTTAAGGACTTCCTAAATGTTTCTGTTTCTCAGATGTTTCAGGTTAGCAAATGTCTGGTTATAAAGGGAACTTTTAAATTATTTTTCCCACAAATCATCTGTTTGAATGTAAATGTGTATTTGATGTGTTTATTTTGTATTTGACTCATCACGTTTCTTATTTATCTTTCATTTTCTCTCATTTGTTTCAGGTATGTTTGTAGCAGGCGACGACCCCGAACGTCCCCTAAAACCTCTCCCGCAGCGAGCTAACTCTGACCGACGGCCTCGTCTGTTAAACCGCAAGCCACCTCCGCCGCCGCCAGACCTCCCTGGCCCCTCCTCATCTGCCTCCCCTGTTCCACCTCCGACTATTCCTCCTTCAGGTCCTGGAAGCTTGGCCCTAAACGGGGAGATTGAATGCCTCATATCCCAAGGCTACTCCATCCAGGACATCCAGAAGGCCCTGATGATTGCTCAGGACAACCTCGAGACGGCCAAGAACATCCTGCGCGAGTTCGTCTCCATCCCTTCCACAGCGCACATCGCCACATAGTCACTTTGCGCAGGCTCATCCTCTGTCTCATCTCTCTCCACTCTGTGCCATTACCATTTACCAAGCACTTTTCTGCAGGGCCACAAGTACTTTCAGAAGGCTTTACTCTGAGGGATGATGCTGCGTCCATGTTATATCTCATCCAAAGTCATTTGTAGTGGGAAAACAGCAACGTGGGGTGGGGTGGGGGGGACTATTGTTAAAGACAATGTCAAGCGGCTGAAATTACAGTCTCAGAATCTCTTTTACTTGTAATATTCATTTGGAGATTGAGGGTTTTGGCCTTAAAGGTGAGAGGTCAACTGTAAGTCCGATATGACCTGAACACAGCATAAATGGAGAATCGGAGCCTTTAAAATGGGCTTGCTGTGACCCTGCTGTGATTCGCTGAGTTAGTTAAATGCTGCGGCAGTGTCCCCCCTCAGTCTGCGTGCATGCTCTCGTTAAGCTAAGTGTTAAAACTGTGCAGACTTTGTTCAGCGAAGGGACCCCGCACATAGTCGTGTCTGTTCATTACATATGATTCTGTAATGAAATCTTCTGTTTTTATTGTTTGTTTTTTAAGCATATACATTACTGGGCACAAGCACCCTTCAAGTAAATTCCTTCCAAAGAATGCAGTCTGTGTTTTCAGAGCTAAGGAAAAAACAACCATGCCAGCCACCAAGTGGTTAAAATGAGAATAGTCAATACCAGGTACAACAGAACAACCTGTTTACATCTTTGCTGTACTTCTTATGAATTCAGACATTTGATTGAACAACAGAATACATTTAAAAGCCAAAAGCAGTTAGAAGCAAGCTAAAAACGTCTTTAATTAAATAGAAAAAACAGTCCACTTTCAGCTTTAAAGCATAAAAACACAATAAGCACACTGACATGAGAAGTATTCAGAAAAGTAAATGTTGCAGCAGTTTCACTCTTCAGTGTTATCTGGGGTCCGTTCTTCGTACCTCGCTTACTACATCCAAGACCAAATCATCGCGCCAACTTTGAGCTCGCTATTCCGGTTCTCCGAACACACCTGTTGCTGACGATTAGTATAGCTGGATAAAGTAATGTGAGATCACTGGGTGGCTTAACAGGGGCTACGCATCAATAGTAGAAACATTGATCGGCAACCCTTTGATTGGTTGGCGAAAATGTCGAAGGAGCGCGCTCGGTATTTTTCGGCAGCAGAGCAAGAACTCTTGATTGAGGGATTTCAAGAGTTTCAGAGTTTAATTAAAACGCAAGGGAACACTGCAAAGGCTGCAAAAGCAAGGAGAGAGGGCTGGCAGAAAGTTGCTGACAAATTAAACTCGTAAGTAATTTAATAATAGTAATAATAATAATAATGGATTGGATTTATATAGCGCTTTTCAAGGCACCCAAAGCGCTTTACAATGCCACTATTCATTCACTCTCACATTCACACACTGGTGGAGGCAGCTACAGTTGTAGCCACAGCTGCCCTGGGGCAGACTGACAGAAGCCAGGCTGCCATATCTCACCATCGGCCCCTCTGGCCAACACCGGTAGGCGGTAGGGTAAATTTATTATATTATATTACATTACATTATATCATATTATATTATGTTACATTATATCCTCTTTCACATTAGAGCCACAACAGGACCCACTAGAACATGGGAACAAGTAAAAGTGAAATATAAGAATATTCTACAGAATGGTAATATTTATCACTTATATTGCTTTTAGTCTCTTGGAAAGAGACCCTGAAATACTCTGTTAGTTTGTTCATAACAGCAACCAAGAAAAGGGCGGAGCAAAACAAAGACAGGTGGTGGTCCTGCACCCCCTCGTTAACAAGTTGGTTAAGTGAATAATACCCTCACGGAAAAATCGATATCTCTCTATGAGCACACTGTCAAGCTGAGCTAAAGGATCCTGTCTATCCCGTAATATACGCTGAATTCTGAAAACTCTCCTCATCAATCTTGCACCTTCCGCAATGGGTTGCTCGCGTATACGGACAGGACATGGCTCCGACAGACTTCCCAAATCCACCTTCGCTTTTATAGCCGTGGTCTCTGATCTTGATTACACAAAGTAATTTACTATTACTACTCTAACATATGAATTACATCTGAAATAATCAAATACATGAAATAGAATGATTAATAGTACATTTCCCTTTTTTTAGGAAATGACCTGTATGTATCTGTATGGAATCAATAAAAGAATCAAATACTGCATTATCTTTAGTTACATTGATAATGTTTATTTATGGAAAAACAGTGGAAAAATATCGCTGTTGCTTTCGTATAAATGAAGCGGACATACCTGAGTGGCCGCGATCTAATCTTGTTTACATGAAGTAAGCCTGCTCCCGAGCAGGTTTACACTTACGGATCTGTTGCTATGACAGCAAGTCCCGGATGAGCTAACTTACTTAGCGAGGTACGAAGAACGGACCCCTGATCATTAAAAAGTAGCACGGGAAAATAAAAGCCTCAATCATTCACATTCGAAAACTATACTTATCAACAAAGCATATATTTCAAAAAAGAAACAAGCCGCAGACTCTGACGGCTTAAATCTGAATGAACCAATTTAATGTGAAACATGAAGTTTGTTACAGTGAAAATGTGGATAAACTGTAGCCCTTAAAACATCCTACAGACACTGAGCAGTCTTATTATGTGGAGTCACAATCTGCTGTGTGCTAGGACAGCTTTTTCTGCTAAAACCAGGTCCTTACTGGTTGAAACAAGGGTGATGGGAGGGGTGAGACCTTACAACAACACATCATTAAAGTTAGGAATAATTCTTTGACACGAACTCGTGACCGTTCTGACATTACACACAGATCTGCTAAAAAAAGTTTAACAAAGCTTTAACTAATTCAAGTTAAACTTAAACCAGCTAAATGGCTTTGTTAATGTTGGGCTCGCTTGTACTTTTACACTGAAGTAAACTTTGCACATCCAAACTGTGAAACTGTGCCAGGGAGTAGAAACAAGAAAACAAATTCAGTCATCAGCTGAATTTTGAAGTCCACGGTTCATTATTGTAACCATGTAGATCTAAATGGAGCTGTTTCTGTCCATTCTGGACAAATCAACAGATAATTATGTCACAGTCAAAGTCACCTAGCTATGATCGCCTGTAACTCATAACAGCAGCAACTTTAAGTAAAAACAAAAACATCTGCAAATTACAGTTTTATGTTTAAACTGCACATAATACACTATTGTATAAAAAAAGTAACAGAGTTATTTTGTTCTTCAGTCTGTGATGCTTTTAGATGCTGATGTAGCATCAACACTCGCAAAAATGTACACATTTTCAGTAATGGGGCACACTCAGATTCTTTATGGCTGTGCAGTCCATGGTTGCTCAGGGCGACTCCTCTCTCTTCCACACTATCACCATATTCTTGTCACTAAGGGCAACTAGATAGCGTAGCTCAGGGTCCATGGCTACGCTGTTGATGGAGGGGCCTTCTACCTTGCCGTGGCCGTTCTTAACTGGGGTCGGCCACTCCAACACCTGCCAAAAACAAACAACATGTTAGTGCTGAGTGGAGAGAAAAGCGAAATGCATCTGAAGTTTAATCTCATTACACGCGGCCGACGTGAAGCTTCGGAAGTCTCAACTCACTAGTCTTTACATTTCATGTGCAGGCTGAAAGAGGCAAGCAAACTGAGCTCTCTTTAAAGAGTAAAGATGGATAGTGACATTTATTTCATTGAAATGTAGATTTAAAATGTCTCCATCCTTTACGTTATCTTAATGTCCTGCACAGGTACTCCTGTGCGCGATAATCCTGTGTTTATACGTGAGAGCTGGTCATTGTGTAATCTTCCAAAATGAAACAAAAATCAACTACACAGCTCAAATCTCTCATATTTATGGTGGTTGCACACATCTGTTATCAGAGATGCAGACAAAATCCGAGGAAATTATGCTGAAGCTAAAATAATACTTGAATGGCCCGTGTTTATCTATTGTAAGCTTCCTGTGTGCATTCCTGTGCACGTGTATTTCTCTAGGAACAACACAATTAACTGCTTCTGCAAATTTAAATGTCTTTTGAGTGCAAGACAAAGGAACTCTCTCTTTACGGGACTTCAGTGGATTCACACATGAAGGACAATGTTTCAGCCCAGTGCTGAGATCTGGGTATGTTGTGACATCACCAGAAATCCAGCTGGAAAACAAACAAGTGGGCGGATGAAGCTCCATGTGTTTTCACTTTTCAGAGCTAAGATTGTGAAACAACTTTAATAAGACATAAAAGTAAAAGAGAGTAAAAACAAGGACAACTAAGGAAAGTATAACTGATGATTAGGATAACGTTCACTAATCTGGGAGTTTGTTTTGTCTGACTGCAACTACCTCCCAGACTAATTTAATAGACTCATTTTTAGAAAAAAAAAGAACAAAAAAAACAATCGATATTTCTCTAAACAAGAATCGTAAGAGAAAGCTACTGTCTGAAAATACAGATACCTCAGTGGGCAGTATGGTTTTCCCAGTGTGGAAACTGTTCTTCTGGAGGTTGGGGATGTGGTATGTCCATATCTTGCCTTTGTCATCACCGCACACCATGTAGGCTTGACCTAATGATAGGAATGAGAACACAGAAAAGTACACGTGGTGAGTATCTGTGATGTTCTTGGTCAGAGGGCCCGGTGGCGCCAGTGTCCAGCAGCCTCGCCTCTGTCAGTGCGCCCCAGGGCAGCTGTGGCTACAATGTAGCTGCCATCACCAGTGTGTGAATGTGTGTGTGAATGGGTGAATGACTGAATGTAGTGTGAAGCGCTTTGGGGTCCTTAGGGACTAGAAAAGCGCTATACAAATGCAGGCCATTTACCATTTACCATGTAAGCACTAAAGTAGTTTTTCACAAGTTACCACCAGGAAGCTTTAAATGAACTTTAAAGTCCTTCAGGCCATTAGCTGTCTGCATTTCAAGATCTTCTAAATTAGTTCACGGCATAGAGTGATTGAGTTACATCAGCTTTCCTCTCTGTTGTTTCAGAGCTGCACGTCTGAGTGTGTGGCTTCAGTCGAGGTGTGCACGCATCTATTTTTGCTTTAGAACAGCGGTCCCCAACCCCCGGGCCTCGGAACGGTACCGGGCCGCGAGAGTTGAGGCTCAGGTGTGAAATGTATGGTTTTCAGGGTTTTTATCGGTTTTCAGCGTTATTTTGTTATCGTTTTTATTGTTAACTCGGTTTTCCTGGGTCTTTTCACGTGTGTTATGAATAGATCTTCTTTTTTTCGGTACCGGTACTAGTTTTATTTTGTTGTATTTATCCGCAACACCTTAAAGGCCAGTCCATGAAAATATTGTCGGGCATAAACCGGTCCGTGGCGCAAAAAAGGTTGGAGACCGCTGGTTTAGGATGTTTTATTTATCTGATTCACTACAATCTGGAGGGTTAAAATCATAACCCTGGAACGTAATTTAGATTGTAAAGTGAAAACATCCAGTTCTACAGTAAAGCCTACAGGGAGTGCAGAATTATTAGGCAAGTTGTATTTTTGAGGAATAATTTTATTATTGAACAACAACCATGTTCTCAATGAACCCAAAAAA